ACACACACACACACACACACACACACACACACCATCTAATTCATCTAATAGTATTCTAACAGTACACACCATTAATATACATGTAAGCAAGCAATGAGTAGCCTTCGGTAGTGTCTACTTACAGCAATCTGAAATCTGATTCCATTTCCAAATAACTGTTATTGTTTTCAAATACTAAAAACATTAAAATAACCAGATACCTCTTCCATGAAGCTGTCTTTCTTCTCAAGCATTTCTCGTAAAGTCTGGAGAATTTTAATGCACAGTTTCTCTTCTTTCTCCATCAGTTTCTTTGTATGATTGATCAACCTTCAGAAGGCAAAACATTCATCTTTTAAAAGGCCTCTGATTTCTCTTCAAGCTACATATAAATATACACTATAGAAAAATATGAGACAATATTGAAGAAGAAATACACACGATAATGTGTTTCCAAAAGTTTCCTTTGTATTTTAAATCTCAGCGTTTCTTAAAACAGTCAACTCATTATTTTGGAGTGTGTGTGTGTGTGTGTGCGTGCACGCATGCGTGTGTGTGTGTGTGTGTGTATACTGGTCCTGAGGCTTGAACTCTGGGCCTGAGGACTGGTCCTGAGCTTTTGTGCTCAAGCTAGTGCTCTACTACGTGAGTCACAGCTCCACTTCTGGCTTTTGTGATAGTTAACTGGAGATAAGAGTCTCATAGGCTTTACTACCTAGGATGGCTTCGAACCATGATCCTCAGATCTCAGCCTCCTGAGTAGCTAGAAGTCCTGTGACTTGAACTCAGGACCTCATGTTGTAGCATGGCTATTTCACTCGAGGCTGGTGCTCTACCACTTGAACCACACCCCTTGCTTCCAGCTTTTTGCTGGTTCATTGGAGGTAAGATATCGACTTTTCTGCCCAGGATGGCTTCTAAATGAGATCCTTGTATCTCAGCCTCTTGAATAGCTGGGATTACAGGCGTTAGCCAGCAGAGCCTGGGCGGAACCATCTCTTCCTTGCATCTAGAAAGGAATCACGACCCAGCAGCCAGCACACTGCACTTCAGTGAACCAGGATCCATGCACCCGCAGTGAGTCTCAAACCACCGCCTTGCTCAGGAGGCGCATCTGTGCAAGACTCCAGGCGGCCCTGCCGCGGCGCCCCAGCCAGCTTACTTGGACATGAAGGCCCCGCAGCGGATCCGGGCATCACTCCCCTCCGGAAAGAGCAGCTCGGGACTGTACAGCACGTCTACCAGCACAGAGAACTCGGCCTGCATCATGGGGCTGAGCTGCTGCTCCAGCGAGGCCACCACATCCTGCAACAAACAAATCACACCTGAGCACGGGAAAGGTCCAGAGCCGCCGGCCCGAAGCGCACCGACTGACCAGAGGGGGGGCTTTATCTTGATCTTCCCCAGCATCCTGAATCAACCGGTCCTACCATGGCCTGATTTCATGCATGGCACTGTTTAACAGGCCTAATTTCATGTATAATTCTGTTTATCACAGCCTGATTTTGTATATGATACTGCATTCTGTTTGTTTTGTCAGCCGTGGGGCTTGCACTCAGGGCCGGGGCGCTGTCCCTGAGCTCTTTTGCTCAAGGCTGGTGCTCTACCACTTGAGCCGCATCGTCACTTCCGTTTCCTGGTAGGTCACTGGAGATCAGAGTCTCACAGGTTTTCCTGCCCACAAAGGCCATGGACCAGGATCCTCAGACCCCAGCCTCCTGAGTAGCTAGGATGACAGGCGTGAGTCACGGGCACCTGGCTGTAACGCTATTTAACATAGCCTGATTTCATGAATACACGCTTTAAGTGTCATGTATACTACTGTTTAATGTAGTCTGATTTCATGTAAAATACATACATATATATATCACATATATGTGTGTTAACATATATGTCACGTATGTCTCATATCATATGTGTCATATATCATAGATATCACATAGAAACCAGGGTAACCATATGATTTCTATTTTAAAATGTCTTACAGCTGGGCACCAGTGGCTCACCCTGTCATCTTAGCTACTCGGGAGGCTGAGATCTGAGGACCATGGTTAAAAGCCAGCCCAGGCTTAATTCACTAAAACCACTCTGCAGAATTCAAGAATTATAATGGACACATGACACATGGGAATCAACGGGAGAAGCATGCGGGGAACCACTGAAACCCTATTTCACACGGCAATGTGCTCATTTCTCATGACTGACACCGAACAAACCATCCACTCCAGTGGAAATCCGCCACGGACAAATCCTCTGGCGCATACTCATCCCGTAAGGTAGATCCGCTGTGGTATTCCGATCACGCTCACCCACAGGATCTACCGGCCCAACCATTCTGCAGCCTCTTCCACCCTCTCCCGGGCACAAAGCCGTCCAATATTGTTTCTGAGTCAAGTCGTGGGGTAGAAGTTGGCGGCTGAAGGCTGGTGGGGGCTGTGATTGGTCACTGAATGATTACAGGCCATATTCCTGACCAATGGGACAGCAGGTGGAGTCTGCTGAGTAGGAATGTGTAGGATGCAGGGGGTTCATTCAGAACCATCCACCATCCTCAAGGCATGTCGACCACAGGACCCAGAGACAGCCCTCCTGTGACTGCAAAGACCAGCCTGACACAGAAAGCCAAGAGACACTTGGCTTTAGGGCTCTTGCTTATCAAGATGGACTGACCAACTCAGACACAATATTGGCGTTCGGTTTTCATTTTTTTTCTTGTGACAATCCAGGTGCACAGAGCCTGGACGCTGTCCCTCAACGTGTTTGCTGAAGGTTGGCGCTCTACCACTTGAACCACACTTCCACTTCTGGTTTTTTCTGCTTATGTGGTGCTGAGGAATCGAACCCAGGGCCTCATGCATGCAAGGCAAGCATCTACCACTGAATCATCTTCCCAGCCCCTCCCTTTGCATTTTTAAATTATATGAAGAGACAGTTAACAGTCTACCACATTAAGCAACAGTCGACTCACTGCCAGCTACAGAAGATCTTGTTCAGTGGGAATCTGCTTCATGTTAGCTACAGAAGCTCAGAGGGGCTCTAACTTTCTGAGCTAACCTGTAGTGCTACTGTCTCTCCTTCTCAGCAGAAATGATCATTTATTGTTCAACTTTTTTTTTTTGCATTGATGGATTTTTGTGCCATTACTGGGGCTTGAACTTAGGGCCTGGGCTCTGTCCCTTAGCCTTCCCTCCCTCGCCCCTCTACCACTTGAGACACACCTGTTTCCAGTTTCTGTGCTGGTTAATTAGAGTTAAGCGTCTCAAGGACTTTCCTGCCGAGGTGGGTTACATCTTGAGCCTCACATCTTAGTCCCCTGAACAGCTGGGATTACAGGCGAGCGTCTCAGTGCCCACGCCTGAGTCTTTTATTTGCATGACACATATTTTAAACGTTGTAAGGGGAGAACAGTTCCGTCGCTTATCTGTACCTGCAGCTTTTCAATAATATTTCTGTAATCCCAGGCAGGCCCTCCAAGAGCCTCCTTAAACCGGGGCCCGGAGCGGGCTGAGAGCCGCCAGCCGATGGCCGCTCTCTGCACCATGCTGGAGTGGCTCTTCATGAACAGCGTGTTCACCTGGCTGTCCAGATCCACCGGGATGGCGATCCCACGATTCTTGGCTGGAGGAAGGAAATAAAAAGGGTGACCCATTTCCCTTTCAACTTTACTGAAGAGCTTCTTAGATATAACGCAAACAGTCCTAGAAACATAGGTTCAATGAAATGGAGTGTGTGGGGAAGGGGCAATCAGATCATTACGCTTTGCCCTTCAATTGTTTCATCTTAACCCAACAGAGCTTTTTTGTTTGTTTGGTTTGGCTTTTGATTTTGGACCAGTACTGGGGCTTGAACTCAGAGCCTGTATGAGGTTGGCACTCTACTAATTGAGCCATGGCTCCGTTCTGCTATTTTGCTGGTTAACTGGAGATCAGAGTCTCATGGACTTTCCTGTCCAGGCTGGCTTCGAACAGTGATCCTCAAATTTCAGCCTCCTGAGTAGCTGGATGACAGGGGTGAGCCACAGAAGCCTGGCTTCCAACATTTTCATTCTCAAAGTTTTTCTGTTCTTTAGATAAATAAATGAAAATGGGTGAATTAAACATTCAAGAACATATTTGATTTCTCCAAACATGTCATACAGCATCGATGCCAAAAAACACTGGGCAATAAACATGCAAATTTTTTTCAATGGCAAAGTAGGAGAACAGGCAGGTACGTCATGGTAAAATCTGCCAATCTCTTCATTAATTTAGTCAGAGTGCATGTTCACATGAGTGCACACAAATGGCCTGTGATAAGAGATCTAAGAATACAAATGTAAAAGTTAAAGTAGGAGCCAGGCCTTGGTGGCTCACGCCTGCAATCCTAGCTACCCAGGAGGCTGAGATCTGAGGATCGGTTCGAAGCCAGCCCAGATCAGAAATCTGTTAGATGTTTATCTTCAATTAACCACCAAAAAGCCAGAAGTGGAGCTGTGGCTCAAAGTGGTAGAGCATCAACCTTGAGCACAAAAGCTCAAGGACAGCGCCCAGGCCCAGAGGTCAAGACCCAGGACTGGCATAAAAAAAATAAAAATCGAAGTGTGTAAGACAGCGCCTTGGAAGAGAACATGTATGACTCTTCATAAGATCCACTGAAATTCACACTGGAACAGATTTTTATTACAGTAACACTGGGAAATCAGAATGCTTGGCATAATGAAAACAGAAAGGGCCAGGCACCAGCGGCTCACACCTGCAATCCTAGCTACTCAGGAGGCTGAGATCTGAGGCCTGAGGTTCAAAACCAGCCCAGGCAGGAGAGTCCATCAGCTCTCTAATGAAGCACCAGGACACCAGGAGTAGAGCCGTGACGCAGAGTGAAAAAACTCAAGGACAGCGCCCAGGCACAGAGTTCCAGCCCCATGACCAACAAAAGAAAGAATGAAAGAGAGAGAGAGAGAGAGAGAGAGGGAGGGAAAAGAGAGAGAGAGGAGAAGGGAGGGAGGGAGGGAGGGAGGGAGGGAGGATGGATGGATGCAGGTATGACTGGTCCAGCAAAGCCAAGGGCCCAGCTCTTCCTGGCCCCAGCCCACCCATTACACCCAGCCTCCGGGCAGCTGGGGAAGGAATTCCACAAGGCCAGGCCCTCCTCCTTCCATCACATCCGCAGAGCCGCCGGCAGATTCTACCACAGCATCGTGCAAAGGAAACACAGAAACAGCCCCTCAGAAGAGTAGAAAATGCCAGATGAAGGTGTTCACACCTGACCAAGAAGCAGAAGAGAGCTTGGAGAACCCTAGAGAGCTTGACCCAGAGCAGGAGGAGGGAGAGAGAGGAAAACACTGAAGACTACAGCCCCTGAGCAAAGCTCCCCAAAGCTCCAAATCGCAGTGGGGACACACATCAGCCCTCGCTGCACCCCACCTTCCCAGAACGCCCTGAGCACGAATGCAGGACCGAGGACCACAAGGAGAGCGGCGGGAGTTATACTCTCCAGGGAGGGAGGGGGCATGTCTCCCCTGACTGAGGGGGCCGTGGCCTCTGTGCATCACCGTTATCATAACAGGAGAGTTTACCAAAAAGAACCCAACCCGGGTGAAGCACACTGGACTCACGGAAGAGAAAAAAAGTAACCTGGAACGATTCGAGTGATTTCCCTCAGAGAATCCGAGTATCCGCTGCATCCAAGCACGCACGTGCACACATGCACACACACATGCACACACACACACATACACATGCGCACACGCACGCACATGCACACACATGCACACGCGCACACACATGCGTGCACACACGCATGCACACACACATGCGCACACACACATGCACACGCATACACCAGCGAGTACAAGTGTAACTCAAGCAGCAAAGCGCCAGCCTTGAGTGAAAGAAAAAAAAATTAAGAGCATGAGGCCCTGAATTCAAGCCCAGCACACACAGAGACACAAAAGAATAGTAAGCGGCAGTTCGAAACTAGCCAAGGCAGGAAAGTCTATGACTCTTCAATAAACTACTCAGAAAAAGCCAGAAATGGTGCTGTGGTTCAAGTGGTAGAGTGCTAAGCCTTAAGCACAAAAAGGCTCAAGGACAGGGCCCAGACCCTGACTTCAAGCCCCAGGACCAGCAAATAATAATAATAATACTAGAAAAATTACAAAAAAGACACCGTGAAATTGAAACATGACTCCACAAATAAGCACTTCAAAAGTCAGCTGAAACTTTTTTAAAAAAGGGATAGTGATGAAATTGGTAATCTGCAAAGAGAAAGCCAAGGAGAATACTAGAACAAAAAGCATACAAGAAGAAAAGAAGAAACAGAAGCCAGGCACCCGTGGCCCACGCCCACCCCAGCGACCCAGGAGGCTGAGATCTGAGGATCAGGGTTCAAGGCCAGCCCTGGCACAAAAGTCTGTGAGACTCTGATCTCCAAGGAACCACCCAAAAAACAGAAGTGGCGCTGTGGCTCAAAGTGGTAGAGCGCCAGCCTTGAGCTGAAGAGCTGAGGGACAGCGCCCAGGCCCTGAGTTCAGTGCTCTACCGCGTGAGCCACAGCGCCACTTCCAGAATGTGACAGAGGATTTCAAATGTCATCAGAACCTCTCCCTAATTCTTGATCCACCCAATACTGCGTATCGTGTGCGAGTATCTAATTAGCTGAAGCCGTGGGTTCAGCGACTGGTGCCCGAGGGGCGGGAGAATGTCAGCCATGCTGCCGGGGAGCGAGGAGACGCAGCCCTGTGGAAACCAGCTAGAAAACGTGGTGGAGTGTGAGCTCTGGGGTGACCGCTCTGTGGTGCCAGGGAGCCCCATGAAAGGGAGACGCCGTGGGCACAGTCGGACGCTTTCTGTGTCGAGAACACACTCTGTTGAAGTGCTGGCGTTTTGAAATGGAAAAGCAGCAACGCTACGAAATGCATGTTCCCCGTTTGCTACTATTTAGGAATGGGCCGTTTACCCTCAAATTGAACAGGGTTACGAGAGACTCACTGTAAAAGCCATGCCCTGGTGCGCACGCCCGTAGTCCCAGCTACTCAGAGGCTGAGGGCTGAGGATCGTGCTTCGCAGCCAGCCTGGGCAACCAAGCGCACAGGACTCTTATTTTCAATGAAGCAGCAAAAAGCTAAAAGGAGCAGCAGCCCTGCATGAAAAAGCTAAGAGACAAGCGCCCAGGTCCTGAGTTCAAGCCCCGGCACTGACAATAACAACGAAGAAGGTGCAGGGCAACACTTGACTCACTACTGGGAAACCAACGTCTGGGCGACCCCACAGGCCTTACAGTTAACTGTGCTTCAGCTGCGCCCGCACAAGTCACAACAAATGTGGCGGGGCCTCCCTGGACATGGTGTGGAAAAGGAGCCTGTGGTGGGGGACGGGGGGAACCAAACGGGAAGAAAGCGAGGGCGGGAAGCGGACCCACACCCTGACTTAGGTAACTGCCAGCCCTCTGCACCCCACCTTCATCCTAACAGCAAAACAGAAGCTAAGAAGAGCTTTCAGAAAACCCCACGAATCTGTGGGAATCTCACTTCACTGGGTGCCCGGCCCGGGCCTGGACCAGGGCCTGGGCTGCGGCCGGGCCTTCCGCGCCAGCCTGGGGCTCTGCCTCTTCTGGCTGCCTGGGGCTCTGCCTCTTCTGGCTGCCGGTTAATTAAAGGCAAGGCGGCCGCGGCCCGTTCTGCCTGAGCTGCCTCCGGCTGCGATCCTCAGCAGCAGCCTCCCGAGCAGCCATGGCTGCGAGCAGGGCCCGGCGCCGGCTTCTCTTACGGGATTGCTTTTGGTCAGGCATGAGGTTGAGCTCGGGGCTTGAGCTTTGTGCTCAAGGCCAGCTAGCGCTCTACTACTTTGTGGGAGGATACCACAATGTCTTATCGTGTATACCTGTGTGCCTCTGTGACTCTGTGTGTGTGTGTATGTGTGACTGTGTGTGTGTGACTGTGTGTGTGTGTGTGTGTGTGTGTGACTCTGTGTGTGTGACTCTGTTGTGTGACTGTGTGTGTGACTCTGTATGTGTGTGACTCTGTATGTGTGACTGTGTGTGTGACTCTGTGTGTGACTCTGTGTGTGTGTATGTGTGACTGTGTGTGTGTGCCCATACTGGGGCTTGAACTCAGGGCTCCAGGCTCTCAGCTTGTTCACTGAAAGCTGGCCCTCTACTCGTGCCACCAGCTTTCTGCTGGTTCACTGGAGATCAGAGTCTCAGGGACATTCCTGCCCGGGCTGGCTTCCAACTGTGATCCTCAGGTCTCAGCCTCCTGAGCAGCTGGGTGACAGGCATGAGCCCCCAGTGCCCGGCTTCATATACACATTTACACAGGTCACGGTCTTCGATCACCATTCTCCCTGAGTATCCTTTCCTTCTGCCCTCTCCCTCACATTTGAACCTCCTTTCCTGCATCCAGTCCCCCTTTAAACTCAAGTTCCATCACCACCATCATCATCATCACCATCATCATCATCACCACCATCATCATCATCACCATCATCATCGTCACCATCATCATCACCATCATCACCATCACCATCATCATCATCACCACCATCACCACCATCATCACCACCACCATCATCATCATCACCACCATCATCATCACCATCACCATCATCACCATCATCACCACCACCATCATCATCATCACCACCACCATCATCACCATCACCATCATCACCATCATCACCATCATCATCATCACCATCACCATCATCATCACCATCATCATCACCACCACCATCATCATCACCACCATCATCATCACCACTATCATCATCACCATCATCACCATCACCATCATCACCACCATCATCATCATCACCACCATCATCATCATCACCATCATCATCATCACCATCATCGCCACAATCACCCTATTTTAGGTCTAGGTGCCACAGTCAGCCAGAATGTATAAGGTCAGTGCCATCTAACCAACTCACCCACTTCAGCCAGGGTCCGGATGCAGGACTCCACCAGGGCTTTCTGTGCTGGGCTGGGCCAGGTGCAGTTATAAATCCTGAAAGCAGACTGCAGCAGCTGGATGAAAACTGGCTGGTGTGTCTGCGAAGAGGGGGAGAGCGGCAAACAGTGACTCCAAGCCCCAACGGGGTCGGAAAGGCTCATGGAGGCAAAGCATAGCGCAGCCAGGCACCGGAGCTCACACCTGCCACTCCAGCCACTCAGGAGGGGCAGGTCTAAAGATCACAGTTTGAGGCCAGCCTGGACAGAGAAGTCCATGAGACTCTTACTTCCAATGAGCCAGCAAAAAGCTTGAAGTAGAAACATGGATCCGGAGGGAGCCTGTTAGTCTTGAGCAAAAGAAGCAGGCTTTGCGTTCAAGTCCAGGTACTGATAGAAAACTAACGGCGTGACTGGCTGTGTGTGCGCCTGGGAACTGTACCTAGCCTTTCCGTTCACGGCTGGCGCTCAGCTACCTGAACCACACTTGGACTTCCAGCCTTTTGTTGAATAACTGGAGGTAAGAGTCTCATCAACTTTCCTCTCCTGGGCTGGCTTGGAACCCAGATCCTCAGATCTCAGCCTCCTGCGTGTTCAGGATTACAGGCGTAAACCAATCGTCATCCACAGCTTGTTGCTGATGTTTTTAAGAGAAATTACCAATGAAATTATTACTATTTCAACGCTTGCAGGTGATCAGCACACAACTATGAGAGGTTTCCCTTTGTCTAATGAGGAAAATTAACTGTCTTTTAAAGATGGCCTCTTCTTTATTTAAAGGCTGGTGGCTCACGCCTATAATCCCAGCTAGTCAGGAGGCTGAGATCTGAGGATCGTGGTTCGAACTCAACCCAGGCAGGAAAGTCTGTGAGACTCTTAACTCCAACGAACGACCAAAAACCCAGAAATGGAGCTGCGGCTCAACGTAGTCGAGTGCTGGGCTTGAGTGAAAACGCTCAGGAACAGCACCAGGCCCTGAGCCCAGCCCGACAGCCAATGAAAGGGAAAGGGAGAGGCCATACTCTGAGCCCAGTGCTCGCCGAAATGTCATGTCCCACTGCCAGACGGGCTACCTGCAGGCTGGTGCTGTTGTCGGAGAACGGGGAGCTGAAGAAGCCGCTCACGATGCTCATGACCGACTCGGTGACGCACTTCTCCAGGAAGACGTCAGCGTGCTTCCTGTCTGTGGTGGTGTTGCAGACCTGGAGGGAAAAGAATGCTTGGTCCACTGATCTTCCCACCGGAGCTCAGCCCCGGGGCCTCCCATGGCGGTCCCAGGACCCGCAGCAGTGGGCAGCCGCCCCTCCCCCTCCCTCCCACCCACCCATTTCTTTCTTTCATTCTTTCTCCCTCCCTCCCTTCCTTCTGTTGCTTTCTTTGTCCTAATTCTTTCTCCCTTTTTCTTTCTTCCTCTCATTTTCTTTGTCTTAATTGCTTCCCTCCCTCCCTCCCTTCTTTCCTTCCTTCCTTCCTCTCTCCCCCTTTCTTTTTTAGGGGGGGTTTAGAGTTGTTTTGCCAGTCCTGGGCTCGAACTCAGGGCCTGGGCGCTGTCCCTGAGCTTCTTTTGCTCAAGGCTGGCGCTCTACCACTTGAGCCACAGCGCCACTCCCGGCTTTTTCTGTGTATGTGGTGCTGAGGAATCGAACCCAGGGCTTCATGTGTGCCAGGCAAGCACTCTACCACTGAGACACATTCCCAGCTCCTCCTTTTCTTTCTTTCATTTGTTTCTTTCTCCCTCCCTTCCTTCCTCTGACCTTCTCGTCTTTCTTTTCTTTCCTTCTTCCCTTCCTTCCTTGGTGCCAGCACTGGGATTTGAACTCAGAGCCTTCTCTCGTTTGTTTATCCAGTCAAGGCTGGCTCTCTACCATTTAAACCACACTTCCGCTTCTAACTTTTGCTGATTAATTGGAGATAAAAGAGTCCCTTGGATTTGTCTGATCCAGATGGCTTTGAACTGAGTTCTCAGGCTCCTGAACAGCTGACATCCCTGGCACGAACTGCCAGTGCCAGGTCTGCGTATGCTTCTCAGAGATTCTTCTGGAACGCAGTTTGCCACCCTAAGCAGGGAAGCCCAGGGGACCCTTTCATAGTCACACGGTGGGTTTGAGGGATGGCAATCTAGAGGAAGCTCAGGGAGGGTCTGGGCAGAGACACAGAAAGGAAAGAAGAGGGGACCCGATATGCAGTTCTGATGCGGTGTTGGGTTTACCTCCAACACCTCTAACTGTCACACAGAAAGAAGGGACACACCCTCCCTCCCCGCCCCCCATTTTTTTTGACATTTCAACAAAGAAAGAGTTGGAAAAATGCGGGCATGGAGAGACAGTTTTATGCTGCTCACTGGGCTGAACCTCTGGGAGGAATTTACATTGTTCTTAATAAACTTTCAGTGGACACATAGAAGCCTCCTCAGGAGCCAGACACTGAAGGTACTCCTGTGGAACCGGCAGCTAGCCCTGTGCGTGAGGCTGTGGTTAGAAGGCACTAGTGGGAGACGAGAGTGAAGAGAAACAATCAAACGGGCCCTGCCTGGGGCGGCTCACGCCTGTCGTCCCAGCTACTCAGGAGGCTGAGATCGGAGGATCCCAGTTCAAAGCCAGCCTGGGCAGGAAAGTCTCTGAGACTCTTACCTCCAATGAACCACTCAGAAAAAAGTCTGACATGACCCTGTGTCTCAAGTGGTAGAGAGCTGGCCTTGAGCAAAAAAAAGCTCAGACTCTGAGTTCAAGCCCTGGGACAGGCACTAGGTAAGTAAATACATAAAATCCAGTACCTTCGGTAGCTGGGCCTCCCTGTGGCGCCCAGATTCTCACACCCTCCGCCACCGCCCCATTGGGAACCAGCTTGGCCTCCTTTCCAATTCCTGCTGTTCTCCTAACCCTTCGTAGACAGAATCCTAGCTACAATTCTAGGTACTCAGGAGGGTGAACTCGGAGGACTGAAGTTCAAAGCCAGCCCAGGCAGGAAAGTCCCTGAGACTCTATCTCCAATAAGATAGAAGTGGAGCCGTGGCTCGAGTGGTAGAGCACCAGGGAGAGCAAAAGGGAGAGCTTGAGGCCTTGAGTTCAGGACCCAGTGCCAGCATACAATGATAATAACTATTGCTATTATCATTATTGCTGTCATCGGTATCTGCTGGGATAGCTACTGCATTAGGTATTTTGTTTTTATTAACTCATTAAATCTCACCATCTTATAAAACTCATGAGCAATTTGAGGAATGAAACAGATGGGGTCCAAAGGTGCTGGGCCACCTTGCAGACTTTTACCCCCATGTCTGATCCTGTTTAACAAAAACGCTTTCAGGATACCGTGACTGAACACGGCGCCGGCCCTCACCCGGGCCATGTCCACCAGGAAGCTCTCGAAGAGTTTCCAGATGTGGTTACTCGTGTAGATCTCCTTCATCTCCACCTCTGTGTCCACATAGCAGTGATTCACAAAATTCACATAGGCGATCTTCACCTGCGCGAATGCAAATTCACAAGAGACGTCATTTTCTCGACTGGTCATTGTCAAGTGGCAATGACAAAAGGTGCTTCATTATGGCCCATTCATGTCCACTTCGCAGGGCTGCCACCCTACCGCCTGACCCGTGCCTCCAGCCCCTGTGAGTCTATTTGCTGTCTACTTGGAAAACATTTCCATTTCCCTCAGACCAAGTGAACTGTAGTCGAGCAATGGATTTAACCTTAGGCCCAGGCGTTGGTATAAGAATGAGCACTTGGTTCAAACCAAGCCTATTATCTTTGAAACACTAGAAGTAAAAAACAGAAATGAATAGCAAAAAGTCATGGAAATCATGTCAATGGGTTCATGGAGTCCAAGTTAGAATCCTAAGGGATGGAGAATCAGATTTCACACCTCAGGGATCCCAGGGCCTGAGTGTGCTGTAAAACAACCATTAACGGTGGACGTGGAACTGTGGCTCACACGGGAGAGTGCCAGCCTTGAGTAAAAAAGCGAAGGACAGCGCTCAGACCTGAGTTCAAACTCCAGTACTGATGCGAAAAAAGAAAAAACTAACAATAACATCAAGAGGGGGCCTGTGTCCATAATGGCTATGGGGTAGAGAGACATCTGAGCCAGTCCGCTTCCGATCACCATGCTCAGAGGTTTACATATCGCTCTCTGTATATTTCTATCTATCTATCCATCTATCTATCCATCTATATTCATTTATATCTATCCATTTATCTATCCATCTATCATTAGGCATCATCATCCATCCAACCATGATCCATCATCAAGAGGGGGCCCGTGTCCATCTATCTGTTCATCTATCACCCATCTATCATCCATCTCTCTGTCCATCTGTCCATTTATCATCCATCTATCTTTCTATCCATTTATGTATCTATCCATCTATCATCCATCTATCTGCCTATCATCCCAATCCATCCATCATCCACCCATCTGTCTATTATACATCTTTCTATCTGTCCATCTGTTTATCATATGTCCATCTGCCCATCTATCATTCATCTATCTGTCCATCTGTCCATCTATCAACCATCTGTCTACCCATCCGTCCATCATTATCTATCAGTCTGTTTGTCCATCTATCGGTGTCTATCTGACTATTACCCATCTATCTGTCCATCTATCTATCATCTATCTGCTATGTACCTATCTATGCTCAGTGTTTACTATATACCAAAGACTCTCTGCAATTTAAATGTCTTATATGACAAATAATTTTGAACCCCCCAAAAGTCCTACCAGGCACACGTTACATTTCAGTATAAAATTATGGAAACTGAAGACTGGAAAAGTATCTACTTGAACAAGTCACAAGATTAGGACATCACGGATCTGAGCTTCTGACTCATTCTTTTTTTCCATCGGCAACCTATTTATTTAGTGTCAGCTCTTGCTTGGACAACACAAAAAATTAACAGAAATACACTACAGTCTTGGGAGAAAGTATGAGAGCTAAGACATCTGTTAACTAATAAAATCCAAATGTTGCCAGGCATCCGGGGTTCACTCCTGTAATCCCAGCTGCTCAGGAAGCTGAAGTCTGAAAATCACAGTTTGGAGCCAGCCCAGGCAGGAAAGTTCATGACACACTGATCTCCAATTAACCAGTAAAAAGCCAGAAGTGAAGCTGTGGCCCAAGTGGTAGTGTGCCAGCATTGAACAAAAAATGGTGAGGGACGGTGCCCAGGCCCTGAGTGTCAACACCACCACATAAATACACAAACACATGTGTATTTGTACCCATACGTTATATATATACAGATACATCAGACATATGCAGGTGTGCACGCATACAAGTATGCATGCGTGTGCATGCATTCGTGTGTACATGCATACAAATACATCTGTGTATACATGTGTATGTGCACATAAGTATACACGTGTACACATACATGTGTGTGCATGTGTGCATGTGTGTGCACGTGCATGCATGTGCACAGGTGTGTGTGTGCATGGACACACACAGGTGCAGTGCGTGCATGCATGTCTATATTCATGCATGTGTATGTATGCACACACATGTATAAGTGTACATGTGAAGGTTTATGTTGTCTGTATGTAAATAGATGCATAGCAGCGTTTATAGACGTGTGTAATTATCTGAGTGTAGGCGTGCGCGCGTCATTTCTGCACACGTGTGTGTGCACGTGCATCTATGTGGGCAGGTGTGCATGTGTGCGCACGGATACGCGCAGGTGCAGCGCGCACACATGCCTTGCACGCGGGTGTGAGTACGTACGTAGGTGACGTCTGTGTGTAAACATGCGCGTGGCACACACGTGTATAGATGCGTGTGCACGCGCATCATTCACATATACATGTGTGTAGGTTACATGGATAATCGACGTGTGGCCGCAGGCGCAGGCGCACGACACACTGCGTATGGCGCAGGCGCAGGTGCACGACAAACTGCGTATGGCGCAGGTGCGGCAGGTCCCAGGCAAACCTCCCAGATGCACACGGCGCAGGCGCAGGCGCCCGGCACAGGCACGCAGCTCACCTCCTGGATGCGCAGGCGCAGGCACACGCCGCAGGACGCAGGCGCTGCGGATGCCGGGCTCACCTCGCGGGTGTGCACGGCACAGGCGCAGGCA